ATTATTACGGTTTGAAACCCAAAGTATTGGGCACACCAAAATTTAAAATAAAATTGCCCACGTACTGGATATTCATAATTCATTTGACTTTTTTAGTATAAATTATCCACAAATAAAAATTAACAATAAACCGACTTCAAACGCACATTTTCGAGAAGAACACGCGTTTTAATGACGGCTGTATCTCCGAACTATTACTCGGATCAACATGGAAATTTGGGGTAAAATTCTATTTTTTGTAGAATTTAATAAGACAACAAAACCCCTACCTTTAGTTGAAATCCTAAGCATATCTCAAACCTCGATCARTATTAATCAAAATCCATGTACAACATTTTATTTACAACTTTACGTAACAGTGTGACAATTAGCGGACTACAYCCATGCGTACTTCCCGTATAACACAATCCTATATTCATCTGACTCTTTCACTTTACACAATGCAAATGAAACACCAATGAATTTATTGGAATAAAACCTTGCACAAATAGTTCCCTTTCAATTCCAAAAAATAGTCGAAATAGTCCGAGAAATCCCCTTACTTATACATACATATGTATATGGTCTAAAGTCAATAGAAAGATTAAAAATCCTTTTATTTGCGCATTTACAAACCAAAGTACCGACCTTCATATATAACGCCAATGKCATATATACATGTACATAYGTATGTATGTACAAAATAATAGCACTTCAACATACGCTTATACACTGACCCAAGAAATTCATGTACTTGCATTCTGACATTCGACGCGTCATACAGTCCTGGCAATGGGGCTGGTCGACAAGTTTAGATTCTGTGGAGACTCTTTAAGGATAATCTAGTCCAACCACTTTTCCGGTGGATATGGAGCTTTGCAGAGRACAACTTCTTCTTTAAGGTAAGGGAATTAATAGAAAGTGTTAAATAAATTTTATTTTTTAGCTTTCTTTACATTTTTAAAATAGAATAAGTAAGCAAGTAATTGTAATTACATTTTGACCTTAAAGTGTAAAAAAAACATAGGTAATAAATCAAAATTCTCCGTATGAGAAATGCTGCAATCAAATTTCGGAATTTAAAATAACTCCTAACCATTTTGTTTTAAATACTAAATTCATTTTGGAATATATCTTTGGGCATTGTTACAAAATTAACCGCAAGCGATTTTTTGTATATAAAGCCTCAATCTTATTTTATAGTTATTCTATTCCAAATATTAAACTCATTCTAATCATTTTCATTCTCATTCACCGATTTTGGACACGTTTTCAATTTTATAATTAAGACCTATAACCATCTTACAAAATTGTCCGTTATCTAAACTGGTAAAATCTGTAATGAACACATTTGTTTTAGGCGATTCATTATCCAAAAATGGTCCGGGTATTTGTTCTTCAATCCACGGTTTCAATTTCTTGTTAACTTTTTTCGCAGTTTTACGTAAAGAGGAAAAGAATCTGAAATTGCTTGGTATTAAACTCATGCTTTTCATTTATATCAGAATAATCACCTAAGTGTTATGTATTTACCAGAAGGTGTCAATACACATTGTGTGACGAATCCTTGCGAAGGTTTTCTGGACAGAAGAGATGTTTGAAGATATGTTTCAAGTTTCTTTATGGAAGTTACATTTGGCCATGGAGTCGGCCAAATATTACTGGGCCAAAACTCTTTTGGCAAAGGCAAGGGACAACGCCGGTAAATTAAAAATATTTGTGTACCCAATGTACTACACCTATTCAAAGTAAAATCAGTTATGGTTCCATGAAATTTAGTGTACAACAGAGAGCTAAATAATTGCAGTAAAAGGTTTTGTAGTTGAGCATGATGCGACAGATTCATATCGTAGAAATGCTGAAAGTCCAAGATGCAAACCTCTCCCTTATTTGAAAGTAAAAAGCGTTTAAGATCTTCCAGTGGTTCAAAAATTTCCATTGCAAAGAGCCCATGTGCAAAATAGAATTTATCGTTTTTTTGGCATACACGCAAATCGAAATAACGCACTCCTAACAGCAATTGTTCCAAAATACTAGAAGACTGTGTTTTCGCCCAACGTCTCACACACCAAGGGAAAAAGAAATTCAACCACCTTGTGGACCTTTCGGCATCTGGAGCAGGCTTTGCTCCAGATTTTATGCCATATGACATTGTATCATGAGAACCTTGTTTGTTCAAATAGTTATAAAAAAAAAAGATTATATTACAGAAATTAAGTATGTGCATAAATTCGTAATCTTGGTAACTACCGGGTATTGCAAGATTTATGATTGGCAAATCGCGCAGTCCATTAGGAAGTGATGCCATCCATTGACCGTTGTCATCCATCATTTTTTTTATTTACTCCCCTTTTTTCTAACTTTATGGATTCACTTATTTGAAATAACTACTAATAAATTCTAATTGATAGTGTGAAAAAAGAGAAAACATTGTATAAACCATTGTACAAACATACAAGTAACAATAGAATCATATGGTCGTCAACAGCTGAGATCACCTGATCGAAATAGTTGATTTTTCGGCACAGAGATTTAAATAAAAGGACTTAAAAATAGTAAACAGGTTGCAGTATAAGCGCGTTAGCCTATTTTCACACATATAAAATATTCAATACTAAACAAAACTATTTGTAATAATTTAAAAAAAATAGATAGATTCTTCAAATCTTTTTAATAAAATAGAAAAGATTTACCAATATTTTGATACAATAAATAAAATTTTAATCAAAACTAGGTAAATTTAATCTTTATGAATTTTAATAATCGAAATACATTTGAAAATTTAACAAAAACATACTTAAAATAAAAAATTYGATAACATAACACGGCAACACGCTCGTGCCTTTTCTAAGGCATTTGGCCGTTTTAGTAGTAGAATATTTAGGAAATCCTAACGAACTGCTTGGGCTTTTACCCTGAGTCTTCCCTCATTCTATTGCATTCTTAATGTAATTTCTGTCATTCTACAAGCTTCGTACCATCAAATCGCGGCGCCGAAAGAATCGTAATCGAGCCACCTAGGTGATAAAATGAAGTAAAAGTAATATTTTTGCAGTTGTTTAAAATATCTTAATGTAAGTGTATTTACGTACACAACGTACACAAATATACATGAATATACAGTTGCGAGCATTGAAATAGTAGCGCCCATTGGCCAAGAAAGTTTTGCTTTAAATTTTGTTTCTTTTGTGATATTGCCGTCGATCATTATTTTAGTTATATTCTCTGAAGTATAACGGTCCTGTTATATACAACAATAAGTGTGAATTACTTAYCGTTACTTTTTTAAAGCCAATTTTATTGGGATATCTGTTTTTATGAACGAGCAATAGAATAGTAGTGAACGATGAGATGATTGCAAACAGATAATTTTTAATAAAAAAATTTAATTTTATCAAACAAAAAGTAAGTTTCCAGATCTTTTATTAATTATTCAATGCAAAAAGCTAAAAAAAAAATATGACTTTGCACTTATTTTTGGGCAGCGGGAAGCACTGCAGTGACGAAAAACGAGAATGTATTCAATCTGTCATAAACAATGGTAAATCCTACAAGGGAGTGGAAAGAATTGTAGGGTGTTAAGCCATAACGACTCACAATGCAATTATTTATAACAAAAGACGAAAAAAGGGGCACAATATGGATTCTTTCCGAGAATTTTACACCAATAGTTGTAAGATGTGTCAAGACTCGACTTAGAATGTTAGCTATGGAGATTCGGAATGAACTTGGCCTACGGTGTTCATACAGTGAGAAGACTTCTACATGAACATAATGTATATGTCCGCAGTCCTTGATAAGTACCGTTATTAAAAAAAATCATATAGCAATTTGTCTTAAATTTGCCAACGGTCCGATTGAGAAATGGCGCAACATCTTGTAGACAGACGTGTCGAAAGTTATTYTATACGGCGGTAAAGGGTTCCGTCAGWATCTAAGACGCTCCCCTACTAGAGAGTACGACCCCAGATTCAGCATAAAAACTATGAAGCTTGGCGGTTTGAATTTCATGGTTTGGTGTGTTGCAAAAATTTTTCAGTACTTCTTTTTTTGATTTTTAGTGCTTTACTACTATTTTACTGCTCCCAACAAGTTTCTTACATAAAAACATCCTTGTAAATAAACATATCTTGTACATATTCAAATCTAAATATTTTTAGTAATAAACATAGCCTGAAAAATATGATCCACTTTTGCATTTCAATGGATGTTGAAATTGTTTGGCATTTTACATAACTCACAGATATGTAAAGCTCTAACATCCACTACTATTTCACTGCTCGCAGCTGTATAACTGTGTATGTACACYGAAAGCTAGTAGAGTCGTGGTTGTTGTTATAGCTGCAGGAAAGATTCCTGAAGTAATTTCGAGATATGGGRCTGAATGGACAATATTTGGCCCAATAAAAATCCGGGTCTGTTCCGGTTACTTCGGCCCGACAGTCGTGATGGCCTAGCATCATTTTTAAAACATAAAATTCTTTTTTTTAATTGGATTATACCCAAATTAAGATTTTCTACATTATTAATCAATTTTTTTTTAATCATTACAAGACTCCTCAATTATTCAATAAGTCCGCTTGATGAAAAATATCCCGGCAAAAATGTTTATCTGGTAATCAATTTGACAATGGTTGGCCATAAGTAAAATTTGTAGTACTTATCGATAATTTTTATATGAATTCTATGAAATTGGCAACGCCGTAAGCTATTTGAATTTGTGTTAAGATTTCTTTCCCCAACATTTAAAATTTGAGCAATGGAAGTTTACGAATTTGATAAGTGTTTGCTTGACCGCTTGGAAGAATCTATGGGAGTTTTATCTTGGAAAGATGAGGTTATACCCGCATCTCAAGTTCGTTCCGAGTGGTCATATTATATTGAACTTCAGATTGAACCAGCAGGTACATGGTGCATCATTAAACTGCTTGGCATGTTTAAAAAAGAATAATTATATTTTAWAATCTAGGTTGGCAAGCGCTATGGAAAATTCCTCGAGTGATATGTGAAGAATTAGGTATTAGATACCCAACCGTGGTTTTCGGTTACGTGGAGCAAGTTATTTTTAAAGATTTAAAAGCTATATTTATTATACAAGAAGTTCAGGATGAAGACATTCATTTACCGGAGAAGCACGAAGTTTTCTTGGAAGATCTGTGGCCTACTAAAGAGCAAGAAAACTCCGAATTAAATATTGAACGAACTGCTGATTGTGTTGATCGTTTAAGATTCTTTTATACYCATGTTTGGATGCCCTGGGACAATGATAACGATGACGACCTTAATTGGGTAGAAAAGCATTTAGAGTCACGTATCCGATTTTGCTATGACTTGCGTAAAAGAACAATGAAAAAAACCTTGGCAGCCCATGTCCGTAAATTGCTTACAGAATCTAAGTACTTGCAACAACGACGAGAGTATCTAGAACTAGGACTTACTGACGAAGAAGAAGGAGACCCCGAAGAGACGATGGGTAAAACAGAAGTAACTGATTTAATGAGATTGCATTTGCGCCTAGCTATGATTCGCAATGAAATTGAATTATTAGAAAATCCAGAAATGAGAAGAATTTTTCAAGAAATAAAATTTCCASAGGAAAAATATTTCAATGAAAATGGACACAATGACATATCTAGCGAAAAAAAACTTGGACGAATTTATTTTGTAATGACGCAATGCACTCTTGATCAACAAATACATTTATTGCAAATTGCCAAGAAGAGAATTCCAAAAGATGCATTGGTTCAAAACGTTCCCACACTGCAGGTAGTGTATGGTATACTTTATGTTTCTGCATTCAGACATATTTTTAAATCTACAACTCAATAAACTGTTGTTTTTTAAGGAAATTTTAAACRGTTGTATTAATTATGACTGTATTTATCTTTCGCCTGGTCATCATACTGTAAAATTTTTAGAAAATATGGCTGATGGTGGTAGATTATGTGGTCTTACTACAGACAAGGAGAAGTGGACAGACTCATCGGATTACTTTGCTAAGGAAAATGTTTGGATTTCATCTTCAGATGAAGAAAGTGTGCTTTTTGTTTTCGAAAAATCTTTTACTATTGAAAACATAGTTTTAGATTGYCGCAATGTACAAACTGGAATTTTAGTAAAAAGTGGAACATTATGCCTKCGTAATTGCGTTTTAATTGGCGATGGAAAAACTAGTACTCAACAGGGCATTATTTGCTATAAGGGAACATCCGTTATTCTTGAAAAATGCATCGTTGAACGATTTGCAACAGGTGTTACTGTCATGAATGAATCATTGTTACAGCTAAAACACACAAACGTTTTGAATTGCAAAATTGGAATCGATTTGARTGTTCACTCAAAGTGTCACTTTGATAATTCAAAAATAACTAATTCACTTAATAATGCAGTACATGTGTCAACAGTTTTCAAACAACAAAGCCAAAAAGCCCGGTATACAGTTTTGAACCATTTAGAAGAGTGGGAAAAGTAAGTAATAAGGTATAGGTAAACATGATTAAGCTTAGTTTAATTGTATTTATTAATTCTTTTAATAGAAACTTTGACGCACCTACGCCATTTATTGGAGAATGCCAGTTCAAAGGTTGTAAAGTAAATATATTTGTGCAAAATGTATGCAATATGATTATTTCAAGAGAAACATTGAATGTTTTAAGAGCTAACGAAAACGGTTTCGAAATCCCTATTACTAAGGATACAACGGCGAATGAGGAATGTGTCATCAAGTCATATTAACATACGGAAGTTGGGTTCAGTATACATAATTCTTAATCGAAACAAGTTATACTTTATAAATAAATATCTGCCTTATTAACTTTAATTAATATGACTACAATTATCACTTTTTAAAATATTTTCGATTATATTAAGTATATATAAGTCGTCCTTCCTACYGAAAATCATGGAGAAGATCGTGGATCAAGAAATAAGGATGAAGGCGCTAAAGAGTTCACCGCTACATGCGGCTCAA